AGCGCTCCACCCCCGCCCCGAGTCTGCGCCCCCTTCCCATGGGACTCTGCGGTGTGTGGGGGAGGGGGATAGTCTGCAGCCCCGTGCTCCTCTGAGAGTGGGGGGGGCACTAGCCCATCCCCCCCGGACAGGGTCTGGGGAGGAGTATTCCCGCTGTGGGGCTGGGGGCCACCCCCCCGCTTTGGCCCATGGTTCCCTTGAGACGGTCTTTAGGGGGGGAGGTTATCTTCCCCCCACCCGGCCCAAAGTCCCCGAGGCCCTTCCCATCGCCCTCATCTCGCTGACTCTTTCGAGGGGGACGTGCTCTTCGCTCGTCACTGTCCCCTGCCCCCGTCATGCTCCCAAGACTGTTATGGAGCAGAGCAAATCTGCCCTATGCCCCTCTCTTAATCCCCCGCCCCCGTCACTGCACTACAGGGGGTTCACGCTTCTCTTTTCCGCTGGTCTCTTTTCAATGCCTCGAAATTCCCTGTTTTGTGCGCTGCTCCCTTCCCCACCTTTCAACCTCTTCCCCACTACTGGGGTTCTCTCAGCAAATTTTTGGAGGCCTCATAGTGTGGCCACTAACTTTTGTGGTGGCCACTATGAAAATTTTCCTTAAAATATTTAACTTCAGTGAAAATAAATAAAAGATGGAAGATTTATGTGATCTGAAGAGAAACATACACACATACATGTCCAGATCATTATAATTTATGTAGGTTTTTTTTTAGACTCAATAATAACATACAGTTGTCCCTATTTTTTACTTGCCCTAAATAAGAATAGAAACAAAAATAAGGGGCTTTGCCTGTTGTTGTCTTTTGTTGTTGTTTTTTTTTGCTTTTTTTTTAGTTACAGGTTTTTTTTAAGACTAACTAGCTAGTAAGTTGTCTTTTGTTTAAAAAAAAAGATATTGATATGTTTGTTAATATCGCTTTTTGCAGCCAATTTATTGGCTAGTTGGGAGGCAGTAAAAAGTTATATTAACTTACAAATATCACTTTCCATCACAGACTTATTCAGCCCTGGTAGGTGAAGGATAAATTAAGCCTTGAATGGAAAGGTGGGTAGGGAGGTATCAAGGACTGGGGTATTGGTATGTATGTATAGGTGAGCGGCCAGTGACTGCAGTGGGAGCTCAGGGTAATGGGGGAAGGCAGGGGAGAGTGAGCCCAAAACTCAGTAGCTGAAGTCCAAAACCCAACCAGTGTCTGTGCAGCCAAAGTCCAGAAACATGGGTGGAGTCCATGACGAACCTGCTGGCCTGTGGCCACAACCTGTGCCTGCCCCTTCAAGGCTGACACTAGAAACCTGAGCTCCATCACACCTAGGAAAGGGGGGAAGTCACACTGCATTTCTGCTCTTCTAGAGTGCATATCTCCAGGGCAGGGCCCAACCCCTCCTTTTGACCCCCCCAGAGAGGAGTTGTACCTTCCCACCCCCCATTTTTCCAATCACCAGCTAGGAAGCTATGAGGGTAAGAAAACTTGTGTTGGCCACATTTGAGAAATGACGCTGTAGATTTTGGTTAGGCCGTAAAAGCCCATTTCTTGATCTTAGATGTTTCTCTAGCCATCCATCATTACTAGGCGTATGAATGTTTAACCAGTAGGGGCTGGAGCAGCTCCTGGACCCACTGCAGATTGGCTGCTCTGACTGGCTGTTCAGAACAGCCCCTGTCTGTGGTGGGCCCGGCCCAGGCGGTGCACCACAAACGGGGACTGTTCGGATCAGATGGCCAGTCATAGCAACCCTTGTTTGTGGTGGGTGGGCTGCTCCAGCCCTAAACAGTTAACCAGTTAAACATAATGTTTAACCAGTTAATCAATGAAACCGAATTTTACATTCCTAACCATTATCCTAGGATTCTGTTCTGGACCATCTGCGTTGCGACCTCAAAACCATGCCTGGTAGGTAATCTTCTTCTCCGAGCCCAACCTTTGTTCCTCAGAGGTCCCCAAGACTTTGTTTTTGGGTGAGGACTTGGGGACAGTTACCTTCCTGCTTTTTATAATTCTCCAGAAACTCTGATTTTTTCGGTTATTTTCTGCCTACCCATTAATGGTCCTTGTTCCTTACTTCAATTACAATGAGACCATACTTTGAGAAGAATCTCTTGCTGGTTTTTTACCCACATTAAAACCCCAAATATTCCATATGGTTCACTCCTTCTTTTCAGTTTCCACTTTGGGGAAATACCCTGTGCTTCCTTTCTCTTCATTCTCCCTACTTCAACCTTGACAGTGTTTTGGATGCTAATTCCCTTTATCCTCCACTTCTCACTCATCTAACAGTACTAACTCCCTCTTTTCAGGCTCAAGCTGACTCAAGGGAGACTTGCAAACTGGGAATGCAAAGGAGAAGATACAGACTGTAAGAAAAATTGAAAGTGGCACTCAGTATAAAGGTGATAATCCACCTTCATTCTTATCTTGTATCCCAAGCCAACCCTGCATGTCCACACAAGCTTGTCTGGATGCTTATGGAACCTGTTCTTATTGGCTTTCTTGACTGATTTTATGTGAGTACCTAGGATTAGATTTCCCTCTTAGGTGTTTTTTTTTGTGGGTTTTTTTTGGGGGTTTTGGTTGTTTTGGTTTTTTTTTAGAAAAAACAATTTGCTCTTTGGCTTAAAAAAGTAACAAAAATTTGCAGTATAGGGAATGAACTTTTTCCCTTTTCTGTGTCTTGTTCTGCACTTTGCGTTCTCATTTGATAAAATAAGCTCCAAACATTTATTTACTTTTTTTGTAGGTTGCAACTTCAAGATCTTTTTGTGGCTTCTCTCTTTAATAATTTTATTTAAAAAAACCAAACAAACCCACCATGTCAATTGTTAATTGGGTCTCCTTATTTAAAAATAAGCATTGTGTACATCTCTCTTCTTGTCTTACTTCCCACCAATACACACAAAGAAAACCTTCCATGATAAGAGAAATGATTGAGAATTATTACTAGAGTAGGTAACAATAAAAGCATTTGGATGGTTTACTAATAATTATGTCTGTAATTCTTAATGTGTAAAAAGCCTGTGTGTACAGACTGTATTGTCATTAGTTTGTGAACACTGAATACTAATCAATTGATTGTTTACAAGTTCAGATCCTCTTGATGTATGTTGGTCTCTGCAGACGTAGTCACAGGGGAATCAAATAGTATTGTTCGTTGCAACTCAAAATGCTACTGGAAAGTGTTTGTTTTTATACACAGTCAGTCAAAAATGTTTTTCTCCTGAAGGATTTTAAAGGGTTTACATGTTCAAGGGAGTTGGAAGATATAAAGCTGCCTTAGTATATAGTTTTAATGAAAGTGTTCCTTTTTCTGTCAGAAATTCTGGTTAAATATTTTAAGTCACTTAACTGTTTCCACTGATGATAGTGCTTAAGCTTATGTCTTATTTAAATGATTTTTTTCAACTATTTACAGTAAAAACTTCTTGCACAGAATAGGAATGTAAATGACTAATCAACTAGTTGCTCTCCTTCCTTGCTGCCTTTATCAGCAAGGGTGGGGAGAGGATGTGCTGGGGGAGCTGGCTCCATGGGAGAGGGCAGGGGCATAGCAGTGGCATTCCACCTCTTGAAATGTACAAGACTCCCTGCTGGGGCTCCAGGTGACATTTTAATCTTTGAAATGATTCCTCTCTTTTTACTTTTTTCCTTCAAAAACCACTTCTTCCTTGCACCACTTCCAATTAAGGATGTTAAATATTGGTCAGTTGAATAGTTGAGTAACCCCATGAATTATTTTCGGTTTCTCAGCTCTATAGTCCCGAGGTGTGGGGTAGCAGCCAGTGCACTCCGGTCCCACTCCCAAGGAGCCCCCTGCTATCCTGCACTGCAGGCGGAAGATGGTCCACAAGGGGACCCAGTTTAAAAACCAGCTCCCCTCATGGACTGTCTACCTGTCACCTCGTGCTGCTGCCTTTGATACAGAGGCAGCAGCGCAGGGTGGCAGCAGCCCCTGTTCATTGGGTGGGGATCTGAGCTCCTGGATCCAGTGCAATCCGGAATCCAGTGCTGGGATTCCTGCCTGCCTAGCTCCTAATATACTTCAAATGCAGAGCTGCAGCGGGGGTGGGTCCTGGACCCAGCGTGAGACAGGACTGAGCTGGGCTGCTGGCCAGCCTGC